AAGATTAACTCTTGAAATGTAGCCCAAATGAGAGCTTTTGGGTGAGGGGTGATATAATAACTTGGGCCTAGAATCAAGACCGACTGGGTCTCAAATCCAGTCCACTAGTTGCTACCTGTGTGAGCTAGAGCAAATTAATCACCTCTCAGAGCCTCAGTCTCCTCATCTATAAAATAGGGAAAGTGGGGCTGGGCACGGTGGCTAATGCCTGTAATTCCAGCACTTTGGGAAGCTGAGGTGGGTGGATCATGTGAGGTCAGGAGTTCGAGACTAGCCTGGTCAACAGGAGGAAACCCTGTCTTTACTAAAAGTACATAAATTAGCTGGGCATGGTGGCATGTGCCTGTAATCCCAGCTACTAGGTGGGTGCTGAGGCAGGAGAATTGCTTGAACCTGGGAGACGGAAGTTGCAATGAGCCTAGATGAAGCCACTGCACTTCAGCCTGGGCAACAGAGTGAGACTCTGTCTCAAAAAATATAAATGAATGAATGAATGAATGAATGAATGAAAAGTGGTACCCACTGCATAGTGTTATGAAGATTAGATAGGATAATGCTTTTGAAACACATGCTCAGCACCTGGTACATAGTAAGTGCTCAGTAAATTACTAGCGTTATTCTTTAAGAGGGCCTAAACTAATATAGAAGCAGCAAGAATCTACCTGCCTTTCAGACTGCCCATGCCCAACTAATTTCCCTTCTAACTTTGCCCTCCTCTTTTCTATGTCTTGTTATTTTTAGTTTCTCAACTTGAATACTGTGTATTCAAGCCTTAATTCCCTGACATCTTCCTCTGGTGAGACAGCTCCGATGTCCACTTCTTGAGTCTGAGGATGGTCTGCATGATGCCAGCTTTGCCTGAGCTAGGGCCAGAGGACAAGTAAGGCAGGCTGAAGATCTGGTTAAGGTCTGGGGCAGGGTGAGAAATTGTAGAAGGCTGGTTCTGGTAAGGGCTTTCTGGTCCCAAAAGAGTAGAGCTTATGGAGTCAGAATGACTGTTAGACCCTCCAGCCAAGAGAGGGCGCGTGTACTTATACAAGTGTGTCTGAGTGTGTATGTTTTAACATTAATTTTTAGGTGTTGGGCTGGATGCGGTGCCTGTAATCCCAGCACTTTGGGAGGCCAAGACGGGCAGATCACCTGAAGTCGGGAGTCTGACACCAGCCTGACCAACATGGAGAAACCCTGTCTCTACTAAAAATACAAAATTAGCTGGGTGTGGTGGCACATGCCTGTAATCCCAGCTACTTGGGAGGCTGAGGCAGGAGAATCACTTGAACCTGGGAGGTGGAGGTTGCGGTGAGCTGAGAGGGCTCCATTGCACTCCAGCCTGGGCAACAGGATGGAAACTCTGTCTCAAAAAAAAAAAAAAAAAAAATTAGGTGTTGGGTACTTCTCATCTTTTACCTGGTTGTAGTGCTTAGGAGGGATTTCTCACTCCACTAATAATGTATGCCAGTGTCATGTGTCATTCAGGTTTGAGCCCTTGGTATTTGGGAATTCTTCCTTTAGGAAGCAGAGGGACCAACTTCACAGCCCACACAACTAGCTTTCCCAGCTATGCTGGCTTTGGGCTCTGGAAGGCCCTCTCAGTTCAGTTCCACAAATTTGTTGAGTGCCTCCTCTGGGCCAGGCACTGTGCCAGGCACTACAGTACCCAAGAGCCTCTAAAGGGTTCTGATCTCAAAGGGGAGATGGGAAGATAAACCAAAAATGCCATTTGTCCCATGAGTATGGAAGGGACTTGGAGGATGGTCAGCCTCTGTGGGGAGCCATCAGCTCTTGCCTCTACCTGTTGAGCATAAATTTGATGTCCTTGTCCCTGGAATACCCCTGAGGGAAGAGATGGGACTGAGGGCAAAAGCCGTTTGAATTTTCTTTCTTTTCTGAGCAGAGCTGGCTTTTCATCACTTTTAAACCCCAAATTGAAGTTATAGCAAAGACCTTTAGTGGAGAAAATTCACTGAGTAATCCCTTGGGAGGATTATGGAGGGAATGCTGCATGTTTTCATTTCCTCAACCTCCAAGTATTTATTGAGAGCCTTTGTCATGTCTAGCACAGGAGCCAGCACTGTGAGGGATGTGGCGAGAATCTGGTTGAAGACGTCTGGCGGATTCAAATTGAACAGGTTATCAGAGCACAGCATTTTGTTTGAGTTAGAGAACTAAGGGCAGTGAGGCTGCCTGTGATGCACAGATCCCACCCCATTAGCCCCTTTTCAAAGCACTTCATCCCATGAGTCTCGAGGGAGGAGTCTGAATATGGGGGTAACAGGTCCTGTGTTTAGCCATAACATTTTAAGTCCATTCATGGAAGATTGGCCTTTGCTTTATATTCACTGTCTGCACAATGGGAATAATAATTTCTATCTTGTGGCCTCCTTGTGGGATGTGACACACTCTGGGTGTTGGAGAGTAGTGAATTCCTTTTCTTCCTCGCTCCCTGTGTCTATTGTACCCTGAGATTGCACGTGGGCACACCCTTTCTCATCTTCTGATTTTGAGTGTGGCTCATCTGTAGCTTTTGCCTCATCCTTCCTAATGACCATGGGAATAAGGGAGGGGGTAGGGGTAAGAATGGCTGCGGGTAGTGGGGAATCGTTCAAGGTGTACAGGACTGTGTCTGCAGCCAGCCTGACCCCCAGGAGTCCTGGGCAGGCCCCATGGTTTGGGTATGAGTCCTGATGAATGTTTGCTCAACATTTGCTTGAGCGTTCAGATGGTTTTTTACTGAGTGTTAAATTTGATTAAACTCTTAGGTCCTCCTCAGTGCCAGGAAGACACTCTACTTTCTCTCCCTCTTTTCCTCCTTGATTCACAGTGGGTAGGGGAGGGAAAAGGGCAGCTTTTAGAAAGAAACATTTATAGATGTCACACCCAGGCAGTTAAGAAAGCCCTTCACAGGAGGCTGGGCACCAGTGGTTCATGCCTGTAATCCTAGCACTTTGGGAGGCTGAGGCAGGTAGATCATTTGAGTCCAGGAGTTCAAGACCAGCCTGGGCAACATAGTGAGACCCCTGTCTCTATTAAAAAAAAAAAAAAAAAAAACCCTTTTACAGGGTATGAAGGTGAGGGGCACCCCTGGCGGCAGATGATCAGGGACAGATGTGGGTGGGCCAGAATAGAGGAGGATAGGAGTCCCTGGGAAGGGGGTTTGCATTCCCACCCCACCCTCATCCCTGCCACTCCCACAGCTCTAACCTCCCAGCAGGATTAAAGTTCCAGGTTGCTCCCCTCTATTGACTTACCTTGATGCTATCACCTTGATGCTAATTTAGGCCTGTGGCCAGTCAGAGGCCTGTCATAGGCCTTCTTAAGAGATGCCTGTGTCTGTGCTGGCGCCCTTCACCTGGCCCTCACTCCTCAAGTCTGGAGAGTCCAATTGCCTGCTCGAATGATTTCCAAGTGGCTATTATGTTTCCAGCCCAAGGTAATTGGCTTTACTAGTTATTAATGGATTACCCTAAAGAGAAAAATGTTGGGGGAGGGAGGTGAGGGCAACACCTACTGACTTTGTGGTTTGGTTCTTCAGTATCCACTGGCTGCTTCCCAGGCTGGCAGTCACTTGGGGCATGCCAGGAGTGGCTGTTTGGCATGACCACTCTATAGTTTAGTGGCTGCTGGCAGCCTTGAAGAAGCTAGGATGATGGGGCATATCCCTGGAGGAAGTCTTGGCTGGAGTCATAAAAGGCCCAGGATCGCTCGTATGGCCTTTTTATCAGCCTAGGGTTAGAGCAGACACCTGACCTACAATTTTGATTGTAAGTCAGTGGTTTGGCCAGTGCCTGCCTAACATCCGCCCATCAGCAACTGGCAGGCCAACCTCCCCACCCCAGCCAAAGCCACTGCCTTCTCCAGGGCCCTCTCTGTGGAAATCCATCTCCTCACTGACATGCTTGGGATCAGAGAGCCACAGGTGCTGGGCCGGGCCGCAGCGGATGGTCTGTTTCCCTCACATTGCTAATGTGTTATTAGTATGTCCAGTCTTCTTTCTCCCCATGAATGACATGTAGAGACATGGCCCATTCCTGCCTCCGGGCTCCTGAGTAACACCACTCCTTTCAACTCTCTTGCTTGCTGTTTAAGTTTTCAAGCCCAGGTTTCCTGAAGGCTTCCCCTCTCTACCCTAGCAAATCCTCTTAACAAAGGAGTTGTCTGGCTCACAGGTTCAAGTTCTAGGCCAGAACTACAGCCAACCTAGCCGCTGCATGGATCCCTTACACCAGGCTTGTGCTTCCATTTAAAGTGAGACTGCAGATTGTATATGTTGAGGTTTTTAGGGCTCTAAGGGACACTCTGCGCAACAGGGTCAGCCTGCTCCTTCTCATGTGCCTCTTGGCATTGTTTCTGGCCTCAGAGGACTCTGTGGGACTCCCATCCCACTCTGCAGAAGCTGCCTGGCTCCTCTCATTCCCCACTCTGCCCCACCTATGGACTAGCATATACCTATCCATGGGATTCACTCACCTTTCATATTTTTTCCTTTTCTCATTTTGGTGCCTTTATACCTGCCCTGTACCTGTACCACATTACCAGATTCCTCCAACTCTTAGAACCTTCAGGAATGCCTCCCAGCTGCCCCTACTTCTGACCAGGGCATGACCTTCCAGCCCCAGCAACCTGTTCCTTGGACCCCTATTCTGTGCCCTGCCATTGTGCTCTTGGGGTTCCTACAACTGGAGTCCGACAGGCTCGCTCTCCCTTGGGCTCAGACTTGTATCTACAGGTCTGTTTTTATGGTGCGCAGAGACCACTCAGCCCAGTCTGTGCAGCAGGCCCAGCTGCGGCTGAGCCTGTGGATCTTCTGGCTAGGCAGCTTTGGGGGGCCACACCCTCACAGTCTTCTAAGATGTCTTCCCACAGCTCCTCTGATGGTTCCCTTGGCCACTTCTCTCATTCTGGCTTAACCCCACAGTCCCTTGGGGAATGAGCACGACGTTTCCAATTGTTAGCCATTTCTAACAAGCCAGATCTGACTCTGCTTTCCTTTTGTTTGGCAGCTCTTTTGTGACAGGGACGGCTTGTTGCGGTCACTTCTCACCCCTGAGAATCTGGGACCTCAACAGGTAAGAGATTCCTGAGCCCACCCTGGCTTCTAGCCCAGGAGGCAAAGGAAAGCTTGCTGAGCCAGCTTCTGCCTCGATTGGCTGAGTGGTCCAGGAGAAGGCTGGGAAGTGGTTTAGTGCTGTGGTGCCTTCTCACATGGAATCATTGGGGGTTAGCTGGAGGAGACTGTTGAAGTAATTTATAATAGGTAAATTGTTTCATGTAGAATTTGTGATAACAATAACAATTTGGATTTATGATACTCTTTCTCTAAGGAGTACCTATGTGGCTATATAAAATCCCATTTATCCCCAGAGATGATTTTGCTAAAATAAAGAAATTTTGAAGGTGGCCTACAGACCTATAAAAAGAATTACACAGAACAGTTAAAATACGTGATGGTTTTATTCACAATTCTCTGCCTTGGCAGGCTTTACATGTTCCCATCTGATTATCTACCATTCTGTTTTTTTGGTTTTTTTTTTTTTTAACTTTTAAATTTTGAAATAATTATAGATTCATAGGAAGTTACAAAAATAAGATGGAAAGGTGTTTGTGTAACATCTTACATAATATATAATATAAATCAAACCAGGAAGTAGACCCTGGTACTATCCATGGACCTTTATTCAGATTGCACTGTGTGTGTGTGTGTGTGTGTGTGTGTGTGTGTGTGTGTGTGTGTGTGTGTAGTCCTATGCAGTTTTATCACATGTAGATTCAGATAACCATCACCACAATTGAGTTACTAAACTCTGTTCCATCAGCACAAAGATTCCTCATATACCCTTGGTAGTCATACCCATCCTTATACTCTCCTCTTCTTCCCCAAGTCCTCTGAGGCCAGCAGGCCAGGCTGGCTGTAGTACTGGCCTTAGTTCCTGGCAACTTCTTATGTGTTCACCGTCTCTATAATTTTGTCATTTTGAAAATGTTATATAAATGGAATCATACAGTATGTTACTGTTTGAGACTGGCTTTTTAAAAACTCAGCATAATTCCCTTGAGACCCATAGACTGTGTGTATCTACTCCTCTTTATTGCCGAGTAGTATTCCATGATATGGATATACCAAAGTTTCTTTCCCCACTGAAGGACATTTGGGCAGTTTTCAATTTTTTGACTATTGCAACTAAAGCTATTACCAGCATTTGTGTAAAGGTTTTTGTGTGGGCATACATTTTAATTTCTCTGGGATAAATGCCAAGGAGTACAATTGCTGGATTGTTTAGTAAGTATATGCTTAGTTTTTTACCTGCCAAGCTATTTTTTAGAGTATCTTTATCATTTTACATTCCCACCAGCAATGTATGAGAGATCTTAATTTCTTCACATCCTCACCAGCATTTGGTATTTCACTATTTTTTTTCTTTTTTTAAATTTTTACTTTTTTTTTATAGAGATACAGGGTCTCATTATATTGCCCAGGCTGGTCTTGAACTTCTGGCCTCAAGCGATCCTCCCACCTCAGCCTCCCTAGTAGCTGGAACTATAGGCATGTGCCACCATGTCCAGCTAATTTTGTGTATGTTTTTTGAAGAGATGGGTTTGCCATGGTACCCAGGCTAGTCCTGGGCTCAAGTGATCCACCTGCCTAGGCCTCCCAAAGTGTTAGGATTACAGGCGTGAGCCACGATGCCTGGATTCACTGTTTTCTATTTTTTAACGATTCTAAAGGTTTTATATTTCATCATGTTTTAATTTGAATTTCCCTAATAGCTAATGATGTTGACATATTGTCATGTGTTTATTTGCCATGGATGTCATATATGAATATTCTCTTTGGAGAATGTCTGTTCATGTCTTTTGCTTGTTAGCTTTTTTTTTTTTTTTTTT